AAAAATGGCACAAAAGAAAACTGGTAGTGGCCTGGCTGGGTGTGTAATTCCTGGCCTGATTTATTGTCCCAGTCCGGCCCTGTTAAGAGTCATACAACTTGCCGTTCGTGGCGCACGTTAGAACGTGCATTCTAGTTCAGTGTCATTTGTTTGTTTGATGTCCTCAAGTTAAAGCAACATGATTGTTGCTTTAAAAACGAATGTGATTTGTTTATTGATGTAGATGTAGATTGATAAAAATGGTTTGCATACTGCTAAAAATGCAGTCTATTATATTTGCATTTTTAATGAGACTGCATAAGTTAAAAACATAATTCATAAAAATACACTAAGAAAGTAAAAACAATATTCACAAGTGTTAAAAAGTATATGTAAATCATGTATTTTTGCATTTATTATTTGATGTGCATTGTATTTACAGTAATTTTTATTTATTTTTTATTTAAGGTTTTTTACCTTACAACCTTACTACATAAGTTGTACTGCAACAACAAAACATGACAGTAAAGAAGAACTCAAAAGAAACAAAGTTGTGGTCATTGTACGAGTGAAACCCAGTTAAAACCTCCTATGGACTGTACCATCCCTTTCAAGCGGGGAAACTGCTAATATACCCAAGGGCTTGACACTTGCCCTGCACTTGTATGTGCCAGCTCAACTCTGTCCCTCATCATGAACGCAGGAGGCTGGCTGTATATCTGAACTCGCGCCCTCATCATTCTCTTCATCATCTTGCACTTGTTCTAAGCTGCTGCTGATAGTGCTTGTAGCAGCGCTGCTGCCAAAAAGGTCTGTCAATTTGCGACATGTATATGCTTCACCTGCGAGTGACTTCACCTTTTTTTCTCTTGCCTTCTCGGCCCCACCTTTTTCTTTTTGTTTTCTTTGATTTGTATCCATATATTTTCATTCTCCCTGTCTGCCGCGGCGTCTAATCCCTTCTCTTCATGTGGCCGGTCTTTTTTCTTCTTCGTGTATGATTATTTGACAGATAAGAACCACACAACTGCATTAGCGGCCGCTGTCGCCCTCTGTCGGCCGGAAGCGCAACTTAAATGATGACGTTAAACTATTTTTTTTTAAAGGGCCGGCCGTCAACGGCCCTTGACGACCGGCCGTTCTGTGGTTTTCCAGATTCTACAGATGGCCAGTCTGCCCCTGAACACATCTGAACGAACCCCCCTTTGGAAAATTATAATTTGACCCCATGGTACCTTTTAGTTTTCACTGAAACTATTCCTCTTTTTTATTTTTAAATGTACATAGGCCTAGATAAGTTTACCTTGTCTTTCTAGGAGAGATCGAAATACCGTTTCCCACAATCCCGAATATAAAACAAATGTATATAAAAATATGTGTGCAGATATGTATATATTGTATGAGGGCTGAACGATTAATCGACTTTAAATCGAAATCGCAATTTGAAATTATGCAATTATCAAATCGCAAAGCCTGCGATTTGTTTTGTTTTTTAAATAAAATGTTGGTAACACTTTATATTAAGGTACACAAATTAACCATCAACTAGTTGTTAATTATCATGCATATTAGCAGTATAATGGCTCTTTATTAGTCATTATAAAACACGTATTAATGCCTTATTCTACATGACCATATTCTACAAGTAATAAGCCATTAGTTGAGAGTTTTTCCTCAATAACCCTCTAATTAGTGCTTATTTATTGCAAGTAAGGAAGTTGTTGTCCATGAGTTTTGGTCTTAATATGCGCTGCTTAATATGGACCTAATAAGGCAGTAGTAGCACAAGAATAGTAATTCTCCCATAATAACACTTAACAAATATGATCTATTCTTATGGAACAAGACATGAAACTATAAGTGTTAATTGTGTCTAAATAACTCAAAATTAGGTATTTATATTTTATAATATGTTTTGGGGTATTGACAGTTCAGCTACCAATAGTAAGGTGATATTGACCTGTATGTTTCATATTTGCCCATTTATATTTGTGTACAATGTGTACTGAAGGTTAGACCCGGGTACAGGAAGTAGGAGAACGTGAACTACACTGCTACTAATTTTCCCTTTGCAACCTGAAGAGTAAAAGGGTCAAGTCCGTCAGAAAGCAATGACTGTAAGTGTAAGTGTGAGCCTTACACTTACACTGTAAGGATTAGTAACATGTATTGTGTTTATGTGATGACATGTGGAGATGTTTAAACTTAATGAGAAAATGCATTCGCATTCGCACTAGTGTTAGCATACACGGTAGCGTTAGCATACATGCTAACGTTAGCCATACTAGCCTGTATACATGCTTATTGTACAGCTAGCATTAGCTATATTTACCTTGTTTACACTAAGCGGTCCTAATGTGTTCATCTGTGTATGTTACACTTGCATGTATGAGATCATTAAGTGCCTTGTAACTTCTTTTTTTATAGTTTCACTCCGTTTGAATGTCAGTGGACTGCAAATAAGTCAATAAAGGAGCATGGCTGCTCATTCCCTGGCTCTCAAAAGAGTTTGGCTGGCTGTTTAATCTATGTTCACACTGAGACAACACAGAGAGAGAACAGTACACCTATTGTGTAAGAACATACAAGCAGGTCACACAGTATGATCACAAATACATAAACTCTGTTAAAAATCAGTTTTTATTAAAAAGTACAGGCTGCATATGTGTTCTCAGCCTTGGAGAAACTTGACATGTTTTGATACATGTATGTGTCGGAACCTCTCTTCAGTGGTTCAATAATATAACAGATATTTCAACGTGTGCCTACTTTGTTCATGTACTATTGAGGTTAATTTCAGTAGTTGTGTGCTATAATGTATTTACAAAGTGTGAAGAGGAGGCAACTTTAGAATAGGGAACCTGTTCTGGTCAATTAGAGTCAAACTACTAGCTTATTGGTTATGAACAAGACTTCACTTTAGAATAGGGAACATATTCTTAGATAGAAATACCTAATTAGAGTCAAACTACTAGCTTATTGGTTATGAACAAGACTTCACTTTAAAATAGGGAACATGTTCTTAGATATAAATAGCTAATTTTGAGTTGTTTAGACTTAATTAACACTTGTAGTTTCATGTCTTGTTCCATAAGAATAGATCATATTTGTTAAGTGTTATTATGGGAGAATTACTATTCTTGTGGTACTACTGCCTTATTAGGCCCATATTGAGCAGCGCATATTAAGACCAAAACTCATGTACAATAAGTTCCTTACTTGCAACAAATAAGCACTAATTAGAGGGTTAATGAGGAAACACTCTCAACTAATGGCTTATTACTTGTAGAATATGGTCATGTAGAATAAGGCATTAATAAGTGTTTTATAATGACTAATAAAGAGCCATTATACTGCTAATATGCATGTTAATTAACAACTAGTTGATGGTTAATTTGTGTACCTTAATATAAAGTGTTACCAAAATGTTTTCTTCTTCTTGTGTGTCAGTCATCCACACCAATCAGAAGTGCTGTGCTCCACATGTAGCCTACCAGCCATTGTTATCCAAACAGAAATGGCCCATGATAGAAGGTGATAGACAGATTGATCCAATCACCTGCCAAGTATTTTTGAAAGTGCCTGCCCTTTCCAAATGAGTTCCAATGGAGCTTTCCTAGATGGTTAGGTGAAACAAAGCATCTGAGTCAGGTTAGCAATGCTCCATCACATGTTTCTATTACAGGGTGAATCTTAAACTGAAGCTTGACTTTAAAGCAACCCAACGGAAGTTTCATGTAAGTTTTTCACTCGTAGCTCGGGCTGCGAGGGTGCTAGAGACGGGAGTACGTTGATATGACCTTCCTAGCCGGAGATATGGCCGCAGAATGTACATTAGTGCAAAATTGTACATATAATGTGCAGATTGTCCATAGAGTGTGCATTATTTCCAGATTGTCCATAGCAGCATAAAAAGTGTCTAGAGCTAGATTTTAGTGTCTGAGTGTATGTGGGGAGTTATAGTCCAGTGGGGGCAGGGGGGAGGGAGGGGAGAGAGTTCAGCCTCCTGACAGCCTGGTGGAAAACCGAAAGCTAATCTGACTATCTTGAATACTTGTTGCTATCCTATTGTGGCATAAGCCTATCTTCCTAGTAAGGAATTTGAAGGGCTAATCCACTTATTTATAACGTCTCGTTTAGACTATTGTAACTCCCTCTATATTGGTGTTGACAAGTGTTTGATCCGTCGCCTGCAGCTGGTCCAAAATGCGGCTGCACGCCTTCTTACTGGGAAGAGACGTTATGACCACATCACACCCGTTTTGGCAGACCTTCATTGTCTTCCTGTCAGTTACAGGATCCAGTTCAAGTACTTACTTGTTGTTTTTAAATCATTGCATGGACTGGCACCACATTACCTGTCTGAGTTGTTGCACCGCCATGCTCCAGCTAGAGCATTGCGCTCAGCTCAGCAGAATATGTTGGTGGTTCCTCGGTGCAGGAAAAAAAACAGAGGTGACAGGGCTTTCAGTGTTGCAGCTCCCAGACTGTGGAACAGCCTCCCAGCACATATCCGGACTGATGAGTCTATTGAACTTTTTAAATCTCATCTAAAAACTCACCTCTTTGCACTGGCTTTTAATACTAGTTGAACATTACATTTTTATATTTGTATGTGTGTTTTATTTATTTATATGTTTCTAGTTATTGTGCTTTTTATTATGTTTTTAATTATTGTTTTATTATTGTACTCCCATTGTGTTATTTAATATTGTAGTTACTGCCTGTACAGCACTTTGGTCAACTGAAGGTTGTTTTAAATGTGCTATATAAATAAATTGAGATTGAGATAAGCCCTTTTCTACAGGCATATTTTACCGGCATATAAGGCAGCTAAGAACCGGTTTTCGGTACTTGGAGCCGGATCTGCTGCGGTGGAAACAGGAAGAACCAGAGCTTAATCAGGCTCTAGTCCGGAACCGGCCTTGAAACCGGTTTGGTGGAAAAGGGGCAATAGTGCCGTCTTTTGTTATGTTCTTTGAATTCGGCCACGCCAGCTCCACAAACAAGACAAACGGCTTTCCTGCAAATTCTAGTAAACAGGTGTCTCTCCCTCCCACCTGTCTTGAAAGCCCCTGTTTTCAGAGTCCACTTTTCGTTTGGCCATTTCTTTTGAGGTGAATTCTGACGTCTCATGAGTGTGCAATAAAGCAGTAGGAAGGTGCAGATAACAACATGTGCGTAGGTTATTAACGTCCATCCATTTGCGTGCTGTGCATCATTGTGAATGTTGCTGCCGCAAGGAATTGTCGGGCGTCAATATCTCCTTTCCTTTCTAGAATGTCTTGGTGCTCTGGCTGATGCAGTACATTCTGGGACTTGGAGTATCAGCGGTGTATGTCTTATACAGGTGGGCCAGTTATGATAGTTAGGAAATGTTCTCGCGGCCCAGACACATGTCAACAAGAACAACAAGAACAACAACAACGGGAGAGCAGTAAAATTATTTTCTATCATACTGTGGTTTTGAAAAATAAGTGTAATTGCTTACTCATTAGGTCTTTCTTTGTCTCTGCTCTCTTTGTCTGCAGACAGCGATCATCAGTTTTGACTATCTGACTGCTTTCAAACATTTGGAATATGGCACAGAGGAATACTGGGCTCTCAGGTCTAAGGTAGGTAAACACTTGCCATTTGTTTGACAAAACGAGGGCTCACTGGAGATTATTGTTCTTGTTTATTTCTATGAAATATTGCGGAATGTCTTATTGTTTAGACCACTTTCTATTTAACAAGCTTTGTCAACTCATGAAAAACAATGGTTTACCTATAGCTCCAATGAAAGTAGCAATGAAAAGAAAATGCCCTGCTGGTTCTCTGATGGAAACATGTTTAAGTGAAAAAGCAGCATTAGCAGTCATTAATTTAGTTGAGATATAAAGATAAACTCTGTTCGGGCGCTAGTTCTGTAATAAGATTAGGTTCACATTGGTGTGATGGACGTGTGTGTGTGTGTGTGTGTGTGTGTGTGTGTGTGTGTGTGTGTGTGTGTGTGTGTGTGTGTGTGTGTGTGTGTGTGTGTGTGTGTGTGTGTGTGTGTGTGTGTGTGTGTGTGTGTGTGTGTGTGTGTGTGTGTGTGTGTGTGTGTGTGTTTCTTCAAAGAGAAATAATATCAAAATGTTAAAGGTCCCATGACATGCTTTTCTGGTTATTACCCGTCCCCTTGTGTGTTATGTAGCTTTGTATGCATGTAAACGGTCTGCATGGTCACAAACCCTCAAAGTATACCCTGTAGCGAGTTGGCTACAGTGGGTGGGTGGGGGCTATGGGGATCTCAGTTAATGGGGCTCATTTTTATATTGCTTCAGTTTATAATCGTAACGGATCGAAAAGTTCAGATACATTTTTCAATACATGATGCGCTTCCACAAACAACAACCAACATAATTATTACATTCAAATGAAGTACATTATTCAAGTTTACATTAACTTTGGATAAGAACACGGGAGAAATTAGTGGAAGCGCTCTCTTTTCCTCTCTCCCTCCCCTGACAGTCCGTCAGTATCCGTCTCATGCGGCCCCCAATCCAGTAATGAGTGACCCGACAGTGAAGAATACATATATTTATAACTAGTTTAGCTAGTTCCAGAGGTAGATAAAATAGCTAAGTGTCTTAGGTCAAACTCTTAGTGTGTGTTTTGCTCTGCTCACCGGTCCGTCACAGCGGGCTGCAGGATTTCTGCTTCACACACGTTGCATACCGCTATTTTATTGTCTTTTACTTTGCTTTAGGAGCTCCAACAAGTCGTTTAGGACAGAGAGTGAATACACATACTATACAGAGATGCTGTATGAGAAACCAATGTGAGTTTGGAAAATTGCACAATATAAATCTATTCTAGTATACCTCAACAATTGAATTATGATCAGTAGAAATGGCCAAGTCATGGGACCTTTAATGGATAAAGGATAACATATGGATCATAAATAATATGAATAATATAAACAAACCTTATATAAAGAATAATATAAACTGATCATGACATAAGATTTCTCTTAAACTCCGATAATTGTGAATTAAGAAAATAGCTCAATCAAAATACTACACATACATTTCTCTCTCTTCATGTTAACTCAGTCCCTCAAACACTCATTACAATGTTGTTAATGTTGTTTTGAAAAATATATTGTAGGGCCATACGGATACAAAACATGTCTGTGAAGTTTTTTGCTTAAAATACCAAACAGATCACCCATTTTAGCCATGCCTCATATTGCTCATACTATTGCAGGCCTGTTTCAAACAGGCTGATTCTGCTTTAAATGGAACAGCTGCTTCTAGCCACGCCCCTTTGTAGCGTCATTCAGCTTTCCCCTGCTAGAGAGATTTCTACCGGGAGAAACCATAGACTGGGAGAAACTCAGCTAAACGCTGCGGTAATTAAATGCCATATTATGCTCCCAACCACTTCAAGCTTTATTTCTGAAACAGTATGGAGCTCAAACCTTTCTCTCTCGCAGGGTTTACCACCAGGACATTATGTTACACATATTCTCTCCAGTAGCCTACAGCGTTAGCTCCATGGTTAGCTCTGAGTGTTAGCATGCTTGCTAATGTAAACACATAGCATATTACTCCCAAAACACGCCGCACATTGTTTCTGATACAGCACATAGCTTGACACCGCTAGAACAGTGCCATTATATGTATTATATATGTAATAACTTTACTCTAAGTGCCTCCTGCAGACATCCTTCTGAATACACACACATACGAGAGGGGATTCAGCTGGACACGGAGACGATAGATTGGGACGTGTCACGTGTGCCGGAGACGATAGGTTGGGACGTGTCACGTGTGCCGGAGAAGATAGGTTGAGACCAGAGCCCTAGAGAGATAAGAGTTACGACACTCTTTGATGTCGCCGCCAGCCGGTCACGTGGTTTATGTATGCCGGGATAGTTCAAAACGCACTTCCGTTGCAATGCTTCTCTATGGCAAAAACAGCACAAACATGGTCAAAATAGTCATAGATTAAACCAACGCTGTTATTTTTTAAAGATTGCTTTCATATTTACATGATGTGGTTACACTTTGTATGGGTTGGCACTATTTATAAGTTTCGTTATTTAACGATATTTTGAGGGGAAAGTGTGGTAGCACAAGCAGGCTATGTTGCTGTCACTGCCAGGGCAGTCACGTCCGTAGTATAGTTGCGCTGTCATGTTCTTCTATGGGACAGACAGACAGCAGCGATTGCGTTATTGAATGGTAAATATATATATTAAAAAAACACACACCCAAGTACTTTTTCAGCTGTAATTGCATTATTGCATACTTTTTATTGACAGTTTTGCATTTGGAGAGGCAGGGTGACAACGGAAAGCTTGGTAGCCTATTACTTAGATACGTTTTACATTTTTGGAGGGAAACGTTTGTGTTCATGTTAGCATGGGTAGCATGATCATGTTAAGACTATGAATATCATTTTACCACAACAGTGGATGAACAATTGATATATGTGTTTGAACAAGAACAACAGGAATAACAAAGTAAAAGGGACGAACAAATGTGTGAACAAGTATTAAGAACAGTGTATGGAAAAAGTGATGTGATGTGGGATGTGTGTTAGAACAAAACAAAGTCAAATGAATGAGGAGAACAAAGAGGGTTAGGGTTCAACGGAAAAAGATTAATTCAGCCAAAAAACACAATTTTGATTAATCTAAAGTGTAAAACAATCTTCAACACAGACCAAATTAGTGCCCTTGGACAACAAACATATGGTGGGGCAAATAAACGATAAATTAAATTGAGAGAGTGGGAGACTAAAAATGATTACTATGATAAATATTCAAACTATTTACAAAACTATTTACAGAAGCTCCTGTTGAACCAGCAACAAAAACAGGTTTGTCAACAATAACGAGGCCACTTTGCCAGGGGGAGGTGATCCAGCGACGAGACAATAAAGCAATTCATATTAGGTTCTGTTGAGACACTACAGAATATAAAACCTTCCAAGCCATGACCTCTGCCTGAAATCAGGACCACTCATGCCCCTTTCACACCAGCGCTTTTTCAGCTCCGGCTCGGAGCTGGAGCCTGAAAAGCGCCGGTTTTTCCTGTTCACACCGCAGCGGCGCCGGCTTAGCTCCGGAATCCGGTTCACTTCCAGCTCCAAAAAATTGTCGGTCTAGAGACAAGAGCTTCGGAGCTAAGAGGTGGCGTCGCTTACGTCTCTCTTACGTCGAGGCGTGCAGGAAACTAAACCCTCCTCCCCTGAACATGGGTCGACTGTCATGCCTGCCTACAAGCAGTAGTGCTTATAAACATACTTTATAAAGTCAGGCAACACTAACCAGGCTTCGTGTGATTCTGTTTATTTGTACCTTACTTTGACCATCCGTTCCCTGTCATTGATCATTGTGGAGAGAGGCAGACGTGTTGTTTTGTATTATAGCAGCTATCGGATGGAATCAATAGCCTACATGGGCTGCACAGGTTGTCGTGTCCGACTATCACAAGTAGAATCATAATAAAAATACGCCGGTAAAATGTGCCTGTAGAAAACGGTTTATGCCACAATAGGATAGCAATAGCAAGTAGTCAGTTTAGCTTCGGTTGCTATGCTAACATCACCCATTTTATACCAGAGAAACTTTCATAACAGCGTTGTGATACCAAACAGCGTCAATTCAGACTGACACACATTCACTTAGGCTAAGGGGAACTGGGGATATGTATCAGCTGCTTGTGTGAGTCGGACAGTGAATACTTTAGAGCGGCCGCTGCAGTGTGAGCTAACCGGGAGCTAACGGGAGAATAAACTCCCGTGGAAGAGCAGCCAACACTGCAGCGGTCGGTAAATGCTGCAGAAACACATGAATAAACAATGAACCACGGCACTCTGGAGAAAAGTATAAGGTTGGAGAAGTCGTTATTCAATTTAATCTGGCTTTGTGTGATTAAAAGCAACACGATCATCGACCCGACGCAGTTGTTGTTGTTGTGAGCGCCGTAATGCCGTTGGGGAGCAAATCAGCGATGTAAACGGTGACGTCATGACGCAGCAGCGGCAGCACCCAGTCGGGCTCTGGGCGGTGTGAACAGAGCGGGAGCAGAAAAGGGAAACCGGAGCTGAACCAGAAAAGCTCTAGCTCGGAGCTAGAAAGGGAAAAGCGCTGGTGTGAAAGCCGCATCAGAGGAGAATGCAGCACATCAAACTGGAGTCAGGAGTGTGAATAACACATTTTGGCCAAAACAAATTGTTGCTTACCAATACAGTGACTGAACATTGGACACCAAAAAGTTTGACCTCATGTCGTCACGCAACACTGTTACTGCCCTAAGTCATTTCAAGATAGAGGAGTATGATAAGGCCATCAGCTTCCTCCGGGACTCCATCCATCTGTTTCGGGGCCTGAAGATCGGTCCCAAGGGCAGCTGGAAACCAGTCCAGACAGGACTGGTGATGGCCACAACAACAATCCTGGAGGTCCAGCATGACCTGTTGAGACAAGGGCACAAATTTGTTCTCACAAGCCGCTTCACTCAAGACTGCCTGAAAAACACATTTTCGTCCATTAGTCTGAGGAACTCTGTCCCAACACCTGTAGAGTTCCAATATGCTCTGCGCGCTGTCACTGTGGGTGAAAAAAAAAAGTGCTAATTATTATTTTTTAAAAAGTGTTTATTTTGTTAAAAATAAACATTTTGGATGCATGAAGGAATGAAGGATGAGCCTAAAAGGCTCATCCTTCATTCACTGCTGTAGAGTAGCCTATTCAGTAGGCTATTGTTTTTTTAAGACTGAATAATACCTTTGAAGAACAATCATTAAACTAGTGTGTATATTACAAAGGAATCTATCCTAGCATGCCATCAAGCATTAAAAAGTAGCGCTAGGCTAGTTGTACAGTACATATGAGTTAACACGGAACAGTACCAAAAAAAACAAAGTACAGTCAACATGTCACATAATGAAATGTTAGTATATCCCAAAATTCAA